GGAGGAAATCTCTGCAATTTTGGGTGGCCAGATAATTATGTATTTCTGTTCTTCCTGCTCTTCACGTCCATAGGTATCAGAAAGACTTTCTTATTCCTATTATAAATATTCCATAAAATTTCTCATTGTCTTGTTCATTTGCAAATGCTCGACCAAATAGGAGCATTTCTTGTTCACGGCAGAATGTCTACAGGTCTTGTTAAAGAATATCAAACACACAATAAAATCAACAATAATACCGGTTTTCTTCCCATACCAACATCAGCTAAATGAAGCACCTGGGTGAGCTATATCCATTTTAATGTTTTTATTAGTGAACCAAATTTAGGGAAAGAAGTTGACATGGTTGATGTTTTTGTATATTTTCCTAATTGCCCAATTTTTCTAATTTTCAAATATATAAAGGTATGTTTATATCTCTATAAGTACAAATGTAACTTGATGCGTAACTACATGAATGAGAATCCTTACTATATGGTCTTGGGTTCTGTAACCACAGATCAAAATACAAATGTATACTTCCAAATATCCAGATCTTGGAGTCAATCGATTTACTATCCTAGATTATTTTTTGCATATATTATTGAGAAGTCTATGTTATGAACTGAATGTGGGGTTTGGAGAAGACAACTAGAGTTAGAGGAAGCCACAAAGGTTTAGTCTCATGAAATGCACTGGTGTCCTCACAGGAAGCACAAGAGCGCTTGCTTCCATCATGCTATTTACTATGTAGGCATTTACAACGATGGTCATTAAAATACCAAGAAGCAAGTTCTTACTAGATGCCAGATCTGCCAGCTGGTAACTGGTAACCACACCAGTTATCATATTTTCCATTATTACCTTGATGCTGGGTTTCCCAGACTCCATAAAAAATAAGCATTTGCTCTTTCAGCAACCCTTCGAGGATTGTTTGTTATAGCAACCTCATACTGTTGTACAAACATGAAGTATTGAACATAGCAAATTTTATTTTGGGGTTATCATTGAAACATGACTTAATTTCTTTAGAATCTCAAAGGTTCTCTGGGCATTGTGACTGACCTAGAATTTGTAAACTTTATAATTTACCAGTATGTTTACATGAAGACAGTGAAAAATTTCACCTGGTACTTGAAGAAGAGAATTAACTGTGATGATTATATCCTTGGTAGAAAAGATCCTGTATGACAGAGATGGAGAAAAGAGACAAGTTCATCATTAGTTCTTTGGATCAATTTACCCATTTATGAAATACAGGTGTTGCACTCAGGGATCACAAAGACATGTTCCATATCTAAACATCTCATCCTATGAAGTATGTTTTATATTTATAAAGTTATTTTAACCTGTATATATGTGATTGTATATGTAATCTTAAAAAATTATTTTAGAAAAAGGCTTATCATGGAGAGTGATTTTGTTTGTACTTTTGGTTTGAGGGTCACAACCGGCAGTGCTCAGCACTCAGGGGCCATTTATGACAGTGCTCGGGATCAAACTTGGTCAGTTGCATGCAAGGCAAGCACGCTACCTGCTATACTGCCTTTCAGGCCCAAAGAGTGGTCTTATTTTATCTCTCCATCTTTGCACATACGAAATAACTGTGATCCCTCCTAGTGATGATAACCCATTATCATTAAGGATCAGTGCTATTTCTGCCTCTCCTCTGATTAATATTTATATGATTGAGATTTTGCTTATATCTTCTATTGTAGTTAAACTACTATCATGGTAGCTCCTTGATTTCCTATAAACATGTCTATTTCTTGTTTCATCACTAACAACCTCCTGATTTTCATTTCAGAAGATTAGAATATGCTAACATATAGTTACCTCCCAGTTTAATTCTTGTGTTGACTCCAGTCATCAAAATAAAATGATTTCAGAATCTAAACCCTCGCTCTGTGCACAAGTATATTCAAGGTACATTGTGTGTATGTGTGTGTGCGCTTTGTAGGGACTCTAAGGGTTAAGTGATGATTGTAACAGACACAAAGAAGGGAAGTAAGTTGCTCAAGATCACAAGGTACATGATAAGAGTCAGGTCGTGAAATGAAGGAACTAAGCTCCTCTAAATCGTGATATATATATATATATATATATATATATATATATATATATATATATTTGCTCGAGCGGGCCCAGTAACGTCTCCATTGGAGACTTTGTTGTTACTGTGTTTGGCATATCGAATATCTGTGTCTGTATGTGAGGGCACCAATATCTCAAACACTTGAGTCACTGTCTCCAGGGGAGGAAAAGCAGCCTTAACTAGGAAGCCTTAACAAATCATATTATCCGCATTTGGAAAGGAGTGTTTTCTGCTCTAATATCTTATTTTGTTTTGTGTTAGCATCCATGTTGTAAGATCCAAAACTTAAAATCAGCAATTGCCTCCAATGCATAGTAAAAAACCATGACAAGTTTAAAGTAGTAGACCAAATTTTTAAGTACAAACTGCCATGCAATAGAACTAAGATGACTTTTGATCCTTTTACTCAGAAGCAAACAGATTGATCATAGCACCTTTAATTTTCACAACAAACATTTTGAATGTGACAATCATTTTATCCTCCAAGTAGGTATAATTGTTCCAAGTATTGAAACAGGTCAGCCCTAAGTTACATGTCCAAGAAAGCATTAATCACATAGCACATGAACCACAATTTTTTTTTTGTTGTTTCATTCTGCTTTTGTGGTTGACCACATTATCTCATCTTTTTAACTTCCTGAAAGTATGCTGAGTAACACCAAACAGATTAACAAATAAGAAAACAAGCCCAGAATGACAAAATTGCTGTTCAGAAGTTTATGAGTATTTTTTAAAGATCAGTAGAGTGACATAAATTGTTCCTAATTTATCTTGATAATTAGCAACCAATTAAGATATATATTATGTCACCAGTTTTAATGCAAATGAATTTAGCTAAACAATTAGGATATTAAGTGAGTTTAATTATGTCCTTAGCTCCAAATTTAATTACCAAGCATCTGATGTAATGACTCTTTAAAAAGAAGTTGGACAATTAAAGATTAGGAACTTTAGAAAGTGTTATTATTGGTGATATGCAATATCTCAATTAAAAACACATTATGCCTATTCTTTGTCTTCTGAAAGCAAAAGCATCCCTGAGCACACAGTGAGAAGATTTGAGAATTGCTGGGAGTTCTTCCAAGTCATTCCCTCCCACCCAACACCCCTACCCTTATCTTAAAGAATAAAAATTATACCAGAGAGCCCAGCAAGCTACCAAGAGTATTCCTTCTGCACGGCAAAGTCTGGCAAGCTCCCCGTGACATATTCAATATGCCAAGCACAGTAACAATAAGTGACAATAAGTCTCACAATGGAGACGTTACTGGGCCTGCCAGAGCAAATCGATGAACAATCGGAGGACAGTGACAGTGACCAGAGACAGTACAGTGGGTAGGCACATGGCTTACCCAAGTTCAATCCAGAGTCCCAGAAGGAGTGATCCCTGAACACAAGAACAGGGATAAGCCCCAAGCCTAGCTGGGTGTGGTCTTAAAAACAAACCAAACATACGCATGTGCAGTTTGAGTGGAGTGGATATAGTTCGAATGGTAACATGTAGGAGACCCTGATCCAGTACACACACATGGCTATGGTGATTCCTTGAGGACCTACGCCCAAGGCCTCCACTGCTGAATGAAGTACCCCCAAACCCTGCCTGCAGGGCCCCTCCCAGGCCCAACCATGCTGCTACAGCCCATACAAAACTGTGACAGTTCTTTTTGTCAGCTAAACACCTCATGTGCTGGGAAGGGAAAGGCCAGGAAGATGTTCCATTTCTTTTCTTTGCTTTATTATTTTTTTTCCTTTTCCTGATGGTGCATGGCAGGCTAACATATTAACAGACTGCAAACATGCAAAACAGGCAACTCATCCTGAGATAAATATACTTTAAGTTTCAACTTGGCTCTTTCCTCCTAACCCTGAGGTTTCAACACACCTTACAGGAACTCTCCGCGGAAGGTTTTTCTCTTCTGCTCGAAGTAGGAAGCTTGAGGATTATTTACTTATGAGCTTTTGGGCTAAATTAGTAGCGACTAATTCCAGATTTCAAGTTCGAATTTGTGAAGAAGCTGATTTAGAGCAGAGGGTGCAGTTAAGCGGTTCCCCGATGATTTTGAAACATTAACTGAGAGCAAGTAACTTAATACCATTATCCAAACTAGCGCTTCCTGGCACTGTTGAAAGAACACTAAACACTGGGTGTAGGCTAAAGAGTGTGGTGTATGAAAGTTTCAGAATATTGTACTCTCTTTCATTTCAGGGAGGGTGGGACTCACCTGGCGGTGCTCGGGGGTCACTCCTGGCAGTGCTTGGGGGACCAAATACAGTGGTCTGAGAAGTGAAAGCGGGTTGCCCACACAACAAGTGGCTTTCCCCATACTCCAGCCCCTACAGAGCATATTCATTGATATCTTTGAATGTGAATGAAAATAAATTTAAACCAAAGGATGATGCAGAAAAAGCACATGTACAACTTCCATCTAGAAATTTGTTAGCCAGTGCAGTGTTTAGGAAAACACCAAGGTAGAGAGTAAACTGATAGACTGAAAAAACCTCCAGCTCAATTTTCAAATGGCATTGTCTCCTCTTCATATGGAGATTATGCAAAACTTTATAATCAGTGAGAAAAGACATAACACTGTAGTATCTTGTGTTCAATCAGGTCTAATTATGCTGTGACTCACTGTTATTTCTTTCTTTGGGTCTGAAATATCTGGTTATGCTCATTATTTTAAGAATCCAAACATGAATGATTTCTTTTGTCTTTAATATATCACTCTGAGAATAAATCACCACAGCACTAAGCAAAAAAAATACCACTTTTTCTTGAATTTCTTGAAGCACTAAGCAAAAAAAATACCACTTAAAAGTTAAATACACACACACACACACACGCATGCACGCACACACACATTTTCAGGATGCATACAAAGTGAAATAAAAATACCTAACAAAAACTTTCAGACAGAGAAAACACATGTGCTACTCCAGCATGTATTTATTCTTGTGCTGATTTGACACACAGAATTCAGAACACACAACAGTCTACATGAGAGTGCCTTTGTTTCGTTCTTCATTAGCAATAGATGCTGACAGGAAAGACGGATTAGATGCAGTTTACCTTTTCTTCAGTTGGCTGGTTTCTTAGAGAATTATAAACCATGAAACTAAACTGAGTAAATGTTGGAAGTCTATTACAAGCAGCACCTGGGGCCAAGAAAAGAAAAAGGGGGAGGTGTTGAATTGAATGCACATATTTTACAACCAATGCAGAGGAGGCTTATTCACCTAGAGAAAGGCACTTTGTCCCTGATATCCCACGCAGCCCCCAGTAGTGTCATTTTCCTTATTGATCGGTGTATAGTGCATAAGAGAAGGGAATGGTGAGGGGCCAGACATCTGAGCCTTAGAATATCGGCTTCTCTTTTGCTCTGCACACATGCTTCATTGTTATCATTTTTAATTCTATTTTTATCTCCTTTTCTTGGCAAGAAATTTTTGAGTTTTATGTTAACTTTCCCCTAGCCACTGGCACATCTCTCTCATTCACCCATAAGACTCCCTATGTGCTTTTTTCTTTTTTTGCTCTTTTTTTCTGTTCTACTCTCCTAGAAAGTGAGACGTGCTATTTGCCAAGACGGTCTATGTCTAGAGAAGCTTATGTGCTTATTTCCTGCTGTGTCTCCTGTCCAGGACCCCCATTTCCTTCCCTGTTCAAGAGTCCTCCACCAAAGTCTATTTACTTTCAACATAAGGAGCATCTCAGGTTTGAACTGATCTACAAGTTAATAATCACCATTTTTAACATCTTGTCAAATCCAACTATCAAACTTCTAAGGTTTATTTCTTAAGAAAATAATCAATGAAACGAACATCTTTGTCTCCCCTCCCCATAATTTATATTGACTTTTGTAGCAAAGTACTTAAAATAGAATAAGGAATTCCTCAACGTTTTCAAACAGAACTGTGGGAAGTAAAATATCAAAGAACAATAAGAAGCATCTAACCTGAAAGGCCATATTGATCAGCAAGCTGAAAATTCACTAATGAGAAGCAGTAATGCTTGAAATGCTTCGACACGATGATAAAGTCATATAGAAAATAAATGAAGCAAAGGCTATGCCTCAACTATAGTGGAAAAATAACTTTCCTTAGCTTCTTTGGATTAATAATAAGTAATACATTTGAATCTGGGGGCCTTAATACCAGATAAATGACTAAGACATTTATCAATACAATGGATGGACAAGAAACTTGAAATATATTCAGCCCTATCTTCTTTCCATTAAACTCTTGGCTAGCTTACCTAGTCTCAAGTCTCAGCATGTATAGAGCTGAGGCAAATCCTTCCTTCTTTCCAGTCACTCAAGATTTGCACTAACAGTGAGACTAGATCGTAACTGTCAGCCATGAACCAAAAAACAGTTGTAGGGAAAAAACCAGAGATACTCACATACACCGAATGTATACAGAAGGATGTTGGGGGTCTCACTCAGGGTCTAGTCTACAGGAAGCACACTCTTCACCCCTGAGCTATGTCCCCAGAAATGCAGGTACACATATAAGCATTTGCTTGTCTTGGTTCTGTCTGGGAGCCACGTGCAGTAGTGCTAAGGGCTACTCTATGAAAACGCTTGGGGCTTGCACCCAGGGCTCAGGATGAAATCTCAGGCAAAGCCTGTGCTCCAGGGGGTCGGAGTGATAGGACAGAGGGTCGGGAGCTTTCATTGCACTTAGTTGACCTGGGTTCAATCACCAGCACCCTGCACAATCCCCTGTACCCTGCCAGGAGTGATCTTGAATGCAGCGTCAGAAGTAAACCCAAAGCACGGCCAAGTGATAGCCCAGCCCCCTCTCTCCCACTCCCCCCTGCCCCGCCCAAAATCAAAACACAACAGCAAACAAAAAGAGCCAAGCCTGTGCTCTAGCCCTCTGAGCCATTTCCCCCACCATAGGCTATTTGGGAGTGGAGGAGGGAGTTGTGTTTGGGCCACACCTGGCAGTGCTCAGGGCTTACTCTTGCCTCTGTTCTCTTGGTCTATATATGGTGTGCCAGGGATTGAATTAAAGTCCGCTGCATGTCAAGCAAGTTCTCTACCCACTGGCAATCAGTCCGACCTTGGTACATTTTAACACTCTGTCTTAACAGTTAAAAAACTAGCTCCCGCGCGACATCTTATTATGACATCTTATTATCTCATTCCTACTTTGGACAAACTGGCAGGCTACCACTGAATGTAGCCTGCCCACATGGCAGAGTCTGGCAAACTCCCCGTGGTGTACCAAATATGCCAAATACCAGTAACAATGATGGGTCTCCTTCTCCTAAAGAGCCTTGAATATAATCTCAGGGCTAGGATGAAAGAGGCGTTACTGGGGCCTGCTCGAGGCAATCGACGAATAACAGGATGATTTGTGATTGATTTGTGATTTGTGTCTTAACAGTTCACCTTTCACTGTACACCAGTGTCTACTCAATATAGTTCCCATTGCACAGGAAGGAAATCTTTTACTTTGTCTTTTAATGAACACAGGCAAGTTCTCACAAATATGAATTCCAAATCAAACTTACCATAATGTCCAGTTTTGTTGGCACACACCACAGCCCCAAAAAAGTCTGGAATATAAGACTGAATTCTTAAAATCACTTTCTGGCAAGCTCTCGCCGGTCCTTCTCCTCGTCGCATGTACTGTACAGCTTGGTAGCTGATTTAAAGAGGAGGAAACCTTAATCTTAAAACTAACTTCGAGAGATAAATAGAAAGTTAACAAAATTTGTACTTTGACAGAATACAAATGCACCAGAACATAAAAATGCTGAGGAGTCAGTAACCCCGAAGAGAGCCTCCAACCAAAGCAAGTCCAAATTATGGACTTTTACGAGGTTCACACCCTAGTTGTTTGGATCAGGACTCTTATTTTGGCTTTGCTTGATTTTTTTTTTTTTTTTTAGTTTGTACTACCAACCAAATGTTATGGAGCACATAGGTTACAATGAAATCAAAATGGGTCTAGAGAAATAAAGAGAGAGGGAAATACTGGCCATACGCAACACAACTAATTGCAATGACTACCTTCCGGTCATTTATTGTACATGATGAATGCATGTTCCGACTGCAGTTACCACCATCATTACCACCGGGGCTTTATTCAGCAGCCTCATATCAGTTATTTATTCATTTTTGGGTCATACCCGGCGATGCACAGGGGTTAGTTGTGGTTCATGCACTTAGGAATTACTCCTGGCAGTGCTCGAGGGATCATATGGGATGCTGGGAATCAAGCCCGGTTTGGCCGCATGCAAGGCAAATGCCCTACTCACTGTGCTATCGCTCCAGCCCCACATCAGTTATTTAAACAGAGCAGAAGTATACTTTCATCAGAGAAGCGGGTGAAAAATTCTCCATTTCCAAGGACTATGACTACCTATTGTCAAGATAACCAGGAGGGTTGGCAAACATAAGTTTCTAGGAAGCTACTGTGCACACAGCTTCGATGAGCTGGCACATACAGTTTCTGCCCATCCTGACCGAGATGGCATCTCCTCTCGGAAGCTCTAGCAATCAGACATAAGGGGTCATACCTCGGCAGAAAGCGCATCAATATATCCCCATTCCCAGTGGCGGCAGCCGCCCCGGCCGTGTCGTCAGCATAAGCTCCAGCTCCGGGAATGGGGGAGTCCCCAACTCGGCTGTAAAGGACACAGCAGCATCACTCACGACAGGAAAGCTCGTGCCAACACTCTATGCAGGGCCCTGACATGCTTGGAAACTAGGGACTCTGCCCCCTCAGGCACTGTTGCGAGGAACTTCTCCAGCAGAACTGAGTGAAAAAGAGTGCTATTTCCCATCTCAGGTCTTCACAAACCTAAATGAGTTAGGTAAGGCTGGAGTGTGGCCAGGTGAAAATATCCACATGGCCCCATTTTATGGAGACTTTTTTTGGCATCTCTTATTATCAGCTGATTTCTAGATGATCTCAACAGGTTCAAAATTGGTTTAACCACACACCTCCATCTATTCCTGTTTTTGAGTATGTCAAATTTGGCAAAAGTTTTTCCTGGCAGCAAACCTTTAATGTCTGTTGATAACTTTGAAAGAGAGAAAGAAAAAAAATTTCATCCAAAAATTCTTTTTTCTTTCTTTCTTTTTTTTTTTTTGGTGGGGGGTGTGGGGGGCGGAGAGGAGTGTGGGAGGCATACGCAGCAGTGCTCAGGGCTCATGCCTGGCTCCGTGCTCAGGGATTACTCCCAGGAACCATAGAGGGTACTGGGGATCAATCCTAGGGTAGCAACATACAAGGCAGACCCCCATCACTCTGGCCCACCCAAACACAGAAATTCTTACATGACTTAAGACCCCAGAAAATCCAATTTAACTCCCCCTTTCCCCTCTCTGCTCCAGATATGCACATAGTTTCTTTACCAGCCAGCAGAAACCCCAAACCTGGGACTCCTGGTTTCCTATCTTTCGGGGGGGGGGGACGACGACAGCTCCCAGGGCCTCTTTACTGGCCTTCCTAAGTACCCCAGCTTACTCAGACCACCACCCCTGTCTCACAGCACTGGTTAAGAATCCCAAAGAATCCCTCTCTTCTGATGCTAACCAGCTACCCATCCACCTCTTGCACCATTCCTTATCTCAGGAGGGTCCCGATACACCCTGCAGTCCGCTTTTCCCACAGCCCCCGAGCCCACACTTATTCACTCACTATGGAACCATTAGACACGTTTGAACAGAAACACTAACCCAGGTATTTTGAATTTGATACCATTTGTAGATGTTCCAGCTGCAATACGGCCCTGCTTATGGATGACAACCATGCCTAACAATTAAAAACAAAACAAGAATCAGGGTTTGTATGGATCCGAAGGCTGACCTCAAACATAAACAATAATGAATGGGTAACCTAAGCCCCCTTTCCTTCATTTCAGTTAGAACAGGAAACTTGGAAACATGGAAAATGATTCTAGGGCTGCTGTGTGCATTTTACTGGCCTGGTTTCATGGCATTTTGTTTGGCAGTTCCTGCTCTAATAGCTGATCGATAAAGGTACATCCAAAGAAGAGCCACTGGTAGGCTTAGTTTTTTCTAACACTACAGACTGGAAATAGTATTTGCACGTGCAAGGTAAAAATTATTAAAGATCCCAAAGGTGAATGTAGCACTGTAGCACTGTCCTCCCGTTATTCATTGATTTGCTCGAGTGGGTACCAGTAACATCTCCATTGTGAGACTTGTTATTGTTTTTGGCATATCGAATATGCCACGGGGAGCTTGCCAAGCTCTGCCGTGCAGGTGGGATATTCTCAGTAGCTTGCCAGCCTCTCCGCGAGGGGCGGAGGAATCAAACCTGAGTCAGCCGTGTGCCCTACCCGCTGTGCTATTCCCCAGTGTTAAATAAACATTTAAATAAACATTTTAAATCCACAACTAGTTACTAGGTTTTTAGGGGCCTCCATAAGAGAATTTATAAAACTGTGCACGAGTGTTTACATAACCAGAGTATGCATATGCATGCATGCAGGTGGAGGGAGGGATCCACTTGGCTATACAATCAATCACAGGTTAGACAGCAATTACAGGCTCAGACTATGAGCAGATAAATAAAAGTAGATAAACTTTAACAATGGAAACGGCATCAAAAGAAAATTACCAATAGTATCATGCCCATACTTGTATGTTGAATCTTCACCGAAAGATTCCCGTGCTCTAAAGAGATTAGGTGGTTTGTAGGGTCCACAGTATTTGGAAGGATCTGGTACAACATTCTACAAAACAAGGTTTAAATTTCATTCTTTAGAAAGAGTGATTTTAGAAATCAGCAAGCAGTTACGAATAATCATCAAACAGTAGCAAGAAACCCAAAGGACATCTGACAGCAGAAAGGTAACAATAAAAAGCCAAAGATTTATGTGACCTAATTGGTATAACTTTACTAAATACCAGGTCAAGTCTCAAGATAATATGGAATACATATTAGCACTGCACTGCACTGCACTGCACTGTCCTCCCATTGCTCATCGATTTGCTCGAGCGGGCACCAATAATATCTCACAACAAAATGTGAGACTTGTTGTTACTGTTTTTGGCATATCGAATACGTCACGGGGAGCTTGCCAGGCTCTGCCGTGCGGGCGAGATACTCTCGGTAGCTTGCCGGGCTCTCCGAGAGGGGCAGAGGAATCGAACGTGGGTCAACAATGTTGGCCGCGTGCAAGGCAAGCCTGCTGTGCTATCGCTCCAGCCCGGAATACATATTATATATTCTAAGAAGAGTTCTTCTCTCTCTCTCCCCCCACTCTTGTCTCCCTCTTCTCTCTCTCTCCCCCTCTTCTCTCATTTCCCTTCTCTCTCTCTCTCTCTCTCTCAGATCCATCTATGAAGCTTAATTGAGCAAGAAAAGGGCTTCATTGATAAATCTGAGCTGTATATATCAATCAGTGTCAAAGCAAGAAACCTACTCTGTATGGATTGCACATTAATGCCCTTGGTGTCTCCACAATCTGTTTTAGCCGCTTTCAAGTCAAAGCCCCCCAAATCCCTTGGTTAGTCAAGGATAATGAGGATTTTTTTGAAAGAGAGGGAGTACAGCTCAAAGATGGAGTCTGGATGGCCAAGACAAACTGAAGTCTGCTCCAAGTCACATTGGTTTAAAGACAAATTACCCGAGTAACAACACACGGGACACCTAAAAGCACAAAGCCTCATATCATATACTGGGTACACATCATATACTCATATACTGGGTACACATCATAGAGGCAGAGGTTAAAATCCAAGAAATGTTTAAAGACTGATGGCTTCCAGGCCATTGGTGAGTTTCTCAGGACTAGGAAGTTGAGGCAGTGACCCCGTGGCCTGTCCAGGTCAAGCTAGAGCCCGGCTGTCCTGGACAATAGCCATCCCCCCAGGGCAGCTCAATGGATGGTTCTGAAGAACAACTAGGCCGCCAGGCAAGAGGTATGCATTGAGCAGAAAGGTATCGCTTAAATATTTTTACATTGACTTCTTTATTGTTTTGTTTCTTTTGAGGGAGAAGGGGTTCTTCCTGTGCTGCTCAGCTGACTGGACATGACCAGGGACCAAGGAAGTGGTGCTGCTTGGTCCAGCAGTACCAGATTAATGGGTGCAGGGATCCAAAGGGGGTTGGCCACATGCAGGGCCTGTGCCTTAACCCCTAGGCTATCTCTCTGCCCTAAAGCATGTGCTTTTATTATTTCTTTCCTGTAGGGGAGCACACCCAGCAGCACGCAGGAATCTACTCCTGGCTCTGTGCTCAGGGATCACTCCTGGTAGAGTCTGGGGGACTATATGTGGTTCTGGGGAATCAAACCTGGTTTGAGCGCATACAAGGCAAAGCATATTACCTACTTTAGCTATCTCTCTCTCTAGTCCCCGACTTAGTTTTGAGGGTCACGCATTCATACCTTCCAATAATTTGGCTGGCAACTCTGAGCAAGCCAGTCTGCATGAATTGCTCGAGAAACACTTGTAGATAAATCCTCAGGAAGAAACCCCATACTTTCAGCAAACTTGGTGGCTAGAGATTGGGAAGGAAAGAAAACGGTAAGTTAGGTATTGTCTTCTAAACAAAAATAAAGGTAGAGTAAATATTTCAGGTGTGGTACAACCATCCCAGGGGCTAAATTAGGACATTTCCAGACATATTCAGACATGCAATGTTTCAGGACATGTTATCTGACAGCCAACTCTCCATGTTTGCTTTAACTCTGCCCTACTCAAGACTCTGCCTCTGGACATCAAGGATAGTTTTCCCCTCCCACCTTCCCTCCACTGTCCCTTCTCCCACTGTCTGAAAGAAAAGGTCTATCTGTTACCAGCAGAAAGTCTGACTGTTCGGATGGGGGTGCCATGCCCACTGAGCACTATACTACACATGACAACTGGTATCCAAAGAGTGACACACAGATCTGCCATTTCTCAGGTGGTTTGGCACTGAAGGATGCGAGAGGGGTTAGCTAAGACACTGTCAAAAATTATTCTGCCTCTAGATCACAGAACATTCCTGGTGCTTGGGTGGCATTTTTTTCCAGCAGAACGCCTTCTGCTCAATTTACTTTCTGCCATCTGTGTGAAGAACACTCTCTCAGTCTCTCGCCTAGAATGAGCTAAGATTGTCGGTGATCCTGCCCCAGGGGAGTGCTGATGTGATGATGGGTTGTGGGGTAAGAAGCCTGGGTGCAACTGGGCTACTGTTGACTTGCTTAAACAAAGTAGATTTCCAGGAAGGCACTCAGCAGTAACTTAGCAGGTTTTGTTTCACTAACTCAGCAGTTTTGTTCCTGAAATGGGGGAAGAAGGCTGAATAAATTTGGGAACCTCTGTAATGCCACCAAAATGGATGTCAGTCCTGCAATTACATCTGGGCATAAATGATTTAAATTTTTTTAAAATGCTACTTGATGTGGCCGGCCATAATGGCTCAAAGCACTGAGATTTGCACACAGGAACCCCACATTCAATCTCTAATACCATGTGGTCCCCTGAACACACCCCGCAAAAACAGAATACAGTAAGATGCTATTTCTGAAGAGGAACAAAGGAAAGAAATTTACCCAAACATATGCAAAACAACTGGAATTATCACTCAGGTCTATTCCATCCATTATTTTATATTGTCCTTTCTAACCAATGAAGAACAGATGAAAGACTGGACAAAAGCCTCAGTTTAGTTAGCATGTTACCTGACTCCCCGACTAAAAATGTGTGTGAGGTATAATCCATTACTCTCCGTGCCACACCAATAGCATTTTTAATATGCCTCAGATCTCCAACGGCTCCAACATCCAAAGAAGTGCTACACAGCAAAAACGAAAACAAAAACGCAGATTTACTAAGAGACTTCCAGAACTTCACAGATGAAAACGTGTTGCTTTACTCTAAGAAACAGTGTTCTTGCAAAAGAGGCATTAAGGTGGAATGGAGGGGAGGGGGTTGGGGGAGGGAGGAATACGGGGACCTGTGGTGGTGGAATATGGACACTGGTGGAGGGATGGGTATTTGATCGTTGTATAACTGAAATCCAAGCACAAAAACTTGTAAGTCTACAACTGTACCTCATGGTGTTTCACTAATAAAAATTTTAAAAAAAGAAAGAAACTGCGTTCTTTAGGGCAAACTCCACCATCCAAACAAGGACCTCACACAATACCCACGAAGTTCACACTATCAGACAAATTCAGGGACAAAAAGAAAGTCAACTTGGCACATACCCCAAAAGCAGGGAAACATTCAGTTCTGGCTCATTCTAGTTAGGTTTGAGTTTGGGATGATGCCTGGCTGTGCTTAGCATTTATTCCTGGTTCTGTGCTCAAGGCTCACTCTCGGTGGCACTAGGGCACCATCTGAGGCACAAGAGATTGAACTGGGGCTGGGGACAGGCCAGGCCAGGCCGAGCTGTCCCTTCTTTCAGACCTCTCCTCTAGCTCCTCCTGAGTACAGCTTGCATTCCCATGAACCCTGGCCTGGCAATTGTTCAACTACTCACCTGATCAAGATGGACTTTGAAGCCTTGAGGATTCTCCCTATCGAATGAGACTACCTAGTTACACATGATTATTTCTATTTCCACCACATTTTTTGGGCTTTTTTTTTTGTAGTGAGGTGTGTGGGGGGGGGTCATACCGGCTGGTATTTGGGGGCTATTATTCCTGGCTGTTTAGGAATATGCAACTCGGGGGATCAAACTGAAGTTGGCTGCATGCACAGCAATTGTTCCTTTGACCTCCTGAACTCCTTCAGCCTTTTTTTTTTCTCTTTTTGGGTCACATTCGGTGATGCACAGGGGGTTACTCCTGGCTCTGCACTCAGGAATTACTCCTGGAGGTGCTCTGGGGACCATATGGGATGCTGGGAATCAAACCCAGGTTGGCTGCGTGCAAGGCAAAAAATGCCTTACCCACTGTGCCATCGCTCCAGCCCCCTTTGTTTTGTTTTGAACAGAGAGGGTAGCATTCATGCCAATGCTTTGAGGGGGTTAGAGCCTCGATGACGCTTCCACACTGAGGCTGAGGCACTGTGACCAGGAGACACGGGCGCGGAGCAGCACTTACCCGTCCATGATCATGGCATCCAGGGTGGTCTCCCCCGTTTCGTCGGGGCTCCCGCCGAAGCCCACGGTGCCGTCACACTGCTCCATCTCACACATGGTGCATCCCTTCTCCACGGCATCCAAGGCTGAGCCTCCCGAGAGCAGCGTTGTCCACGCTGTGAACCACACCCCAACAGCACCTGAGTATCAAGCGGCTTCCGTCCAGCCCCGGCGCGACCCAGGCTCTGAGAACTCATTTGGAACAAAGACAAAATGACATTCCTCCAAGGTAAGCTGGGACTCTCACAATTTCTGCTTATCAAGTGCCCACGCACGGGGGCAGCTAAGAGGGTCACACCATGAGACGATTTGAGAAATCAAATGACTCTGACTACTGATACGATGTTGAGGGGTTTGGGTTTTCTTTTTCACATCTTTTTATTATCTGATCTGTGTAAGAGGAGAGGAACACTCTCTGCTTCAATTTACAAAGCAGGGCTGAGGAGAGAACTCTGCAGTCAGCACTGCAGGCTGGTGTGTGCTAACCGAGCTCAAATCCTGCACTACATGGCCCCAAGCATCATCAGCAGTCACCCAGGACATGCTTCAGCAGGGGTGGGGTGTGGGGAGCCCCAATACCACAGGCCTGGACACTATTCATCAGGTCTGTTTGGCTAGAGACTGCCCGGAGCACTTGTTGGGGGAAAGCAGCACCCACCAAAAGAACTAAACAAACAATAGGCTGATCCTACTAAAACGACAGTTAAACCTGCACAAATACATTTATTGGGGCAAGAGCTGCCGCAGCCAGTTTCAGTAACAACGGCAAAACTTACAACTTTTACATGTGCATTATCTGGATCAGCTGATTTCGTCTTTACAACTTTTCCACTAAGTTCTGTACAATGATTAGCCTCAAAGGGGTGGAAACGGACCCAGTGGGGTTAAGTAACTTGTCTAAGGACACACAGCTAGGGTTCAGGAGTAACTATCTTGGCTTCAATAGCCACACCCCTACATTCTGTGACTTCCCGTTAAAGAGGGATATAGCACGTAGTCAACTGACTAACAGAATCCTTTGGAACGGTGAATCTACTGTGCACAAACAATTTGAGCTCTAGAGCTTATAACCAAAACACCTTTCCGGAAGTTCCCCTCTTCACTATAGAGAACTTCCATCAAGTCACTGTACTTTGTTCTTGTGGGAAATTTTCCTTACAACCAGTTTCTCCTTTTCCCTGGACTCAATGCAGTGCCGCTAACTATACACTCAGCTGCACCAAAAATCCAGAAACTACCATTAGCACAGTCAGCGGGCGAGAGGGCCTTCTAACATATTTCACGAGGGTGTTGGATCTCAACGTTAATGAAAACAAGTACATATACTGGGGCAAAGTACCAAGATAAATGGCCTGTGTAGTTTATAGCAAAGCAGAGAGAAGCATCTAACTCAGACATTGGTGATGGTGATACGGAAAAGGGGAGCGAGTTCAGAAAGACTCTCTGAAGGCAGGTCCCCCTGAGTTCTCTGTTCCCAGTTGGGAAACCTTTCAAGCCAATGTCCTCCTACTTCTAGCTGTTGGACAGAAACCTTAATTTGGATGGGGCGCGGGCACGGGAACTTTGAGCAGCTCTGCGGTTGCAAAAATTAGAACCATACTATGTGTCCAAAAAAAAAATCATGTTTGCATGCATGCAGGGAGAGACAGGGTGGGGGGTAAACTGGGGGTTTGGAGGGTGGGGGTGGGTGAAAGCAGCAGTCCTGGCTTGGAAAATCCATCCTGGCCAAAGCTGGACTCGCAGGGGTGAAGAAGGCGGCAACAAGCAGGGCTGGGAACTAGGAGCCAGGGCGCTGCAGTGGGCAGCAAAAGGGGACCCCAAAGCTGCGGGGAGGGGGGCAATGTCCGATGCAGCGGCGGCCTGGAGTCCACCCCGTGGGCCCCGCAGCCCCCGCTCCCCCGGGGCCGGCTCTGTGAGCTGCAGCGGCGGCCGGGCGGCGGGCAGGGGCGAGGGGGCGGCCAGCGGCGCCCCGAAGGGGGCCGTGTCCACCCCGTGGGCCCCCAGCCCCGGCCGGCAGCTCGGTGCCCACCTGCTTCGGTCGCGTTCCTAAAGGGCCACGTGTTGAGCACCAGGGGCAGCAGGCCGGAGCCGCGGCACGCCAGGGCCCAGCAGAGCAGCAGCGGCGCCAGCCACGGACTCGGCCTCCACGTCCTCGCCATCGCGCCGCCGGCCCGGGACCGACCCGACTAGGGTCACCGGACGCCGCTCCCGCAGCGCAGGCCCCGCCCCCGGCGCCACGCCCACCCCAACTCTCGCGAGACGCGCCGGCTCTCGCCCTGCCCGGCCCAGGGCCCGCGGCGGCAGGGCGCCGCTTCCTTGTAGGTGTGCGCGCTCGGGAGCGGCGTCTGTTTGCTCGTGCGTGCGGGGCGCTGCTTCCTTCTAGGGGTGTGTGTGTGGTTGTTTCTAAGTGTGTGCGTGTATGTGTGTGCCGGGCGTTTCTTCCTTCTAGGGCTGTGTTTGTGCGCGTGTGCGTGTGTGTGTTCTTAGATGTGTGTGTGATTGTTTCTAGGTGTGTGTATGCGTGTCGGGCGCCGCTTCCTTCTAGGTACGTGTGTGTGCGCATGTGTGTGCGTTCCTAGATGTGTATGTGATTGTTTCTGGGTGTGCGTGCGTGTGTGTACGTGTGTGTGTGCTGGGCGCCGCTTCCTACTAGGTGAGTGTGCTTGTATGCGCGCACGTGCGTGTGCGCCTGTCTGCGTGTGTGTGCAGGGCGCAGCTTTTTTCTAGGTGTTTGTGTGATTGTTTTTAAGTGTGTGTATGTATGTGCTGGGCGCTTTTTCCTTCTAGGTGTGTGGGTGTGGGTGTGCGTGTGTGTTCCTAGATATGTGTGTGATTGTTGCTAGATGTGTGTCTGCTGAGCGCAGCTTCCTTCTAGGTATGTGTGTGCGCGTGTGTATTTGTATGTGTGTGTTCCTAGATGTGTATATGATTGTTTCTGGGGTGGGGAGGGGGTGCACGCGTGCTGGGTGCTGCTTCCTTCTAGGGGCGTGTGTGTGTTTTTAGGGGTGTGTTTGTGGGCTGGGCACTGCATCTTTCTAGGGGTGTGTGTGTATGTGTTCCTGGTTGTATGAGATTCTTTCTAGATGTGTGTGTGTGTGTGTGCGTGCGTGCTGGGCACTACTTTCTTCTAGGGGTATGTGTGTGTGCGTGCTCCTAAGTGTGTGTGATTGTTTCTTGGGGTGTGTGTGTGTGTGTGTGTGTGTGTGTGTGTGTGATTGCTGACCTCAGGACTCTGCCGGGTAATTGCTCTGTTAGCTTGTCTGTGGCTCTCAAGTACAATGAAAAAGTTGCTCAATGAAAAAGTTGAAAAGTTGGTCCAACTCCCTGCAGGCTGGGACTAGGGCACCCAGAGAGCGGGTAGTTGCGTCTTGTCCAGGGAAAGCAAGCGTTGCTTGCCCGTAAGCTGATTCACTTGAGGCTTTATCATCCACAGCTTTTTGGAGGACGTTCTCTTCATTATAAATCCCCGAGCTGGAAGGAAAGGGGACGGAGTCTGGGGAAGCAGAACTAGCTCACTGGAGTGTGCGCCTCCCTCCACCTGCGGGCAAGAGCTACCTCTATTCCTTTTGAGTGCATTTTTACCTGGTGCCAGGCATCATTAGGTGCCAAATAAATGTTGGAATCGAAGGTGGAATGGAGACTTAACATGCTCGGTAGAGGTTGCTCATTTTGATAGTTCTGGTGCCTGGGCATGGGTGAGCAATTGTCCCCTTGGGGAATCTGGGATGCCTAGCTGTATTATCAGAGCAAGCCAAGCAAGCAGATACTGTTTAAGACCATCTACATATCTATCTGAATTTAAAAATATTAAATAGGCAGGGGCTGTGAAATTTTCAAAACCATGAAGGCTTTTCACTCCTTCCTGTCCAGTTCAGTACATCACTTCAAGAACATAAAACAGCCTAGAAACGTGATCCCAGGACAAAAAAGGCACTCTTAACAGTTACAATTAAAAAGAAGGGTTACAGACTTCTACTAGGAGAGTTTGAAAGAGATACAAGTCTTCTGTGCTGGGGTAATCAGAATAAATTATTGCCATGCAACTTTTAAAAAGGGTGAGAGATGGTAAGCAAGTCAGCAATGAATCCATTCTTTTCTGAAATGATCTCCATTAGCATCAGAACTAAGCGTTAGTATTTTTCAAATAGCCTAAGGATCCAAGGCTCACCCTGGACAGGAAAGCTATGTCCTAAGATAATATGGAAAATTGGTCTCAGTGCCCCCTGCTCTCCCTGCCTCTTCCGGCTCCTGTGTTTGTTCTGGCTGATGGAGATGGAAGTGTTACTACAAAGGCCAGCTTTTTCACAATTGTCTCTCTCCTTACTCTCCAGATGGTGTTAGAGAAGTTCAAAGCCCCTGAATTGTAAATTGGCGGGCATGTCTGGGGGGAAAAAAGCCCTATTGACTTCTTCAAGGGCATTTGGATTTAAAATAATATTTCATCTCAGAGGAATCAAACTGATTACATCGCTTTATTAGCATCTATTAAAATAGAGGGTGTGCTAGTCCAGTTTCTAAACATAATGCTTGTTTCTGCAGCTATAGAAACATTCACTTAGTTTGGATATTTGGATTCCTTCTGGATCAGTTTTTCTGTGGCTAACATTTGGGAAAGGGTTTTGCGATTTAGTACTGGAAATAAACTCACATTACTGTCTCAGGTTTCATTTGGGCCTGCATAGAACTGGACCTGTAGGTTTTATTTTCAAGTGAATCTGTGACCAGGAGCCTCTTAGTGATGCCCTAAAAAATAAACTTCAAAGTCATAATGCCGCATTTTTTCCCCCAGAAGCATCACAACTATTCATTCTTTTAGGGTATTATACCTAATAGAGACATAGCACAGCGGGTAGGGCATTTGCTTTGCACACGGCCAACCTGGGTTTGATTCCTCTGTCCCTCTTGGAGAGCCTGGCAAACTACCCAGAGTATCCCACCCATAGGGCAGAGCCTGGCAAGCTTCTCCTGGTGCATTCAATATGCCAGAAACAAATAACAAGTCTCACGATGGAGATGTTACTGGTGCTTACTCGAGCAAATTGATGAACAATGGGAGGACAGTGCTACAGGACAGTGCTACAATAGAGACATGTAACATTATCTAAATCTAAAGAATTGGTTATACATTATTTTTATTGACTCTTGAAAAACATTACCCAATTCTCCTTAATACAACCTTTGCACCTAAATTGAACATACTTAGAACTAACTAGAGTTCAGGAAGAATTTCAAGACATAGGTTTGAAAATTCAGGGATCCATACCTATGACCTCTAGCAAATTTCTGTTATCTTCACAAGCCATACTCCATTCATCTGTGACATGGAGAAAATGACCTTATGAAATTTTGTGAATGGGGCAGAGGCAAGAAAATGGCAGAGAATTATGCAAATTAAAGGAGATTCTCTTGTTTAATTGGTATCTGCCAAGCCTCCGCCAATCAGTACCAGAAAGGAGGTAGTCTAGAAAAAGACAAAACAGTAAAAACTGAAATCAGTTAAAGATTCAAAATTTCCACAGGAATAGTAAATAATTGGCCAGATACCTGCAGTGAATTTTTAAATCAGCACTTAAAATTTCCTTGACCATGGTACATGGGTGTTAAAAAAAAATCATGTTTTCCCTAGATCATCAGCTGTCTAAAATTTGGTTTAAATGTTTACAAAGCAGGTCCGGTGGCAAGGCTGTGAGATTTGTGAGTGTCTTAAAAACAGCATTCTCAGGTTTTACCGAGGAGACAGCCTCAAATGAAATCTTAAATGATGTTACAAATGGAGCTTTCCTGTGGGGGGCCACGGAGACGGGGGAGGCAGCTGCAAACTTCCCTCCATTTCATCTAAACTACATGGCTTTCAATTTATCAGTCTCAGAAGGATGAAGAGTTGAGTCTCTCCTGATAGCATTTGAAGCTGTGGTTCCACCGAGGATTTAACGCTGTAGTTGCAGGGAGTCTAGGTATTTCAAATCTGAGGCTTAAAAAACTAAGCCATCCCCTCCGGCTTTTGCACTGATGCTGTGAAATCCATTTGAGAAACATGCCCGTGTTTTGCTACTTGTTCAAAGCTGGAAGCGTGACTTGGCATTGAAATAATAATTCCTTCTTCAAAAACTCCCTACTGAACTGTTACCTGGGTTATCTAAATAAAGGTTATTTATTTGATTGGCATTTGCTCTTGTCAGTTTCACAAACTCTCCATAATGACTGTTGGTAGCATTTGAAAATTGTGGGACCGTATTTCCCATTTAAATTCCCCCTTTTTCTTGCATCATTCTGAGAATACTTGATGTTACCACCTGATCATACATTCTGCACCTAATTATAGTCATTATACACAAATATCTTATTATTCTCTAAATGGAAAAAGGAATTATTCTTCCATTCTAAAGTGGGTTATATATTTTTCTTTATGATACACCGAAACTATTTTCCAAATCAATAGCAGATTCAAATCTAAACTTTTTTGGGGGGGGTTTAACCTTTAAAAGTCACCTTGATGGCATATAAAGACCAAGATTTTACAGTAGTATATTGGGTTGGTAAGTGAGTTCTTCTAAAAATAATTTCTATCCAATGTAATTTCAATCTGTGATTGTAATACTGGGTTACTGCTCAATAAAGTTATCACAGTGAGGATATAGCAGATCTTTTTGCATGGTGAAATTAGCTTCTCATAACAATTGTTTATAATGTTACAGTGTCTTCATGGATGTGATCCATTGCAATAGTGGAGACCTAGAGCAACAGAACAGATTCCAAACTGTCTCCCTACAACTTTAAACATAATGTTAAAATACTGTTTACTAGTTGTGCAGATTATTTTAATAAAATATAAGTAAAAGGGGCATACATATAAGACAGTAATGATTTATAGCAAAATCTCGCTGTGGATATTTTTCTAATACAGAAAATATTCTAATAATGAACAAATATATCCTATGTGTAAATATCTTTGTAGTCCGTTTTTTCCCAGTGGTTCCTGCTGAGGTTGAAAAGGAAAGAAAATTTTACATGTGATTTAATCTTCTTTTCCTCCATTTTTTTAGACATGTATATTCTTTAATAATCTCTAAATTCCTTAGCCCACCTTAAAAATCCTCTACTTCTTAAATTTTTGGCATATATTTGTTTGGTGGAGAACCTTGATATTATGTTCATTACTATGTAATCTATTTAATTTTAATCTTATTTATTTAAGATATTAATTTTTATAATCTTATTTAAGATAATT